TTACGAAAGTGAGAATTTTTCTAATTCCTTTCTTCATCGCATTTTTGACTCCGAAAATTTTAGGTTCTCTTTTTTCTACGAAAAATAGCCTAACCTGACGAGTAAAATGTGAAAAATTAAACTTCAGAAAATCGTAGCGGATTTATTGGAAAAGCTTCGAAAATTGTACATGAATGGAACAGGCATCTAGAAATTTTTAGCCGTCCACAGGTAATCTAAAATTCTAGGCAATATTTGCTTCTCCGAGCAGATATGTTTTACAGAAAACAGTCGCTGGGTGCCCCTGTTCATAAGAACTCAAATGTCATTGAATAAGAATTGAACAATACCAAATTATATTCAACAACTGTTCCACAAATGTCACGTCTTTCGCTCAGTTTATCAGCGGAATAATCACGATTCGTTGTAGTGGAGTGTCATTCTATCTGCTAGGTTTTCGAGGAACTGAAATTAAATTATCAAAAGGGGGTGGAATAAAGAAGATTCACCGTCAGCTTCCGAACAAATCGCATTGAATTTGTATGTCATTAATAATACGCAATTCAAGGGAATATCGAACTCTGTAGCTCTTCCTTCTTCATTCAATGCCTCCTTAATGTCTTGCGCAGATTGTCGTCTTGACAGCTGCCTCTCTGAATTGCTTTGAAATGTCACGTGACCCTACATCTATTGCTTTCGAAAGCAGAACCCTCCACTCTTCTATAAAAGCTCACTAGCACTTTAACAACACCATGCCGGGAGGACCTGTCGATGCTGCAGTGACGTTTTTACTTCGCCCTTGACGCTGATTAAAGAATCGCGGGCACTTGATACGAGATTTGGTCCCCAGTACTCCCTAGGTTTCCCAGAATACTGTTGCGCATGGGTCGAAAAAAGAGAATACAACCCCTTTGAGCACAGGCTCAAAGTTCATGAGTTATTTTATTACCGATTCTCCAAGAGAAGATAAGAATTGGCAATGCTTGAAGACTAGGGGTTTTTCAAGAAAAAACACTTAAAATTGCTCTACAGAAGCAGTACCCTTTTAATAATAGGCCATTTGCACGATGGCGTCATTTTACTACTACAACCACAATCCTTTTCGTTTTGCCTTTCATATTTAAATTTGGTAATCACAGCGAGGTTTAAATAACAAAAGTCCTAATTTGCACAAGAAAGCAAAACCCTGAAGGTTTCGTGCAAATGGCCTATAGACCAGTTAAACATTACAAACACTAAAAATCAAGTCAATTAACACTAAAAGGAAACAAATAAAGAAGAGCATGCCTTTCAAAGGACTCTTTAAGATAAGACTGGCACAACTAATTACAAAATTTGTTTGCAAAAAATTGTACTTCCTATTGCTCCAAATTATGAAAATTTTTAGGAAAAAAAACGAACCAAAAAGGTTAAGAAAACAATGGCTGTTTTTGTTTGTTTGTTCGGGTTGTATTTATTTTCTTATCTGGAAATAATATTGGTCGTTTTTGTGTTAGAGACGTTAAAGTCATCATTATACGCACTTGCATTTAACGCTGAGACGTCAGTAGGTCGACTGATGTAAAGCTGAAAAGGACCCATAAAATTGCGACAACGCACTTAAAAGAAGACGGTGGAAGTCGTCAGACGTTAAATGTGTCTATCTTATTTATCGTTTGTATATTAAAAACACTAGTCGAAGTCTCTAGCATAAAAACGGCCATTATTTCAGCAGAAATACATTTTTTTTGGATGATATATATGTTTACATTTATAAAACAATATTGACGCAGGGACAGGTGGAATTCCCAGTTCTGTTGTTTGAGTGAGACTCGATTTGACATAGTATGCCAAACCGTTAATTGTTTTTAGACTCTTTTGTATCAAAACCATTCCTAGTTTAATTGATCGTGAGAAAAGAAACACTTGAGCAAAAGTAAAATCAACACGCCATTCATGTATGTGACTTGCAACTGAATACGTTAGTCACATGAGAATTACATATTCTCCTATTTTCCAAGACAGCATAAAATTCGCTGCATTAAAACATTAATTTCATTTGAAGTACCACCACGAGAGTTACATATATTTTTCAGGGAAATATTTTTTAAAACAAAAAATGCCCTATTTGATTAAACTGCTTTCATTTTATGTATTAGCAGTGACAATTGCTCCTTGCAAAGCAAGGGCGAGGCTCTCTCATTCTGGGCTGCAAAGGATTCAAGTCGAGAAACGCTCTCGTAAGTNGGGTGTTTGTAGCTAGCAAGAAAAATCCTTGTTATATTTGCGATTTTTGCGATATTTGCGGACATTTCGAGGCCCCTCTTGGCTTCTTTGCTTTCTAAGTCAGGAATTTTGTTACATTTGTTATTTCTGCGATTTTTGCGATTTTTGTCATGGGTGTTTTTAGCTAGCAAGAAAAATCCTTGTTATATTTGCGATTTTTGCGATATTTGCGGACATTTCGGGGCCCTCCTTGGCTTCTTCTTTTTCTAAGTCTAGAATCTTGTTAGATTTGTTATTTTTGCGATTTTTGTGATATTTGTCATGGGTGTTTGTCGCTAGCAAGAAAAATCCTTGTTATATTTGCGATTTTTGCGATATTTGCGGACATTTCGGGGCCCTTCTTTGGTTTCTTTTTTTTCTAAGTCTTGATTCTTGTTAGATTTGTTATTCTTGCGATTTTTGCGATTTTTGTTAGTGATTTTCTGACATAATTTTTTCTCAATTATTTCTTTTGCGACAATTGCGAAAAACATTTGCTAGCAAATTTTTGCTAACAAGATCGATCCTGGACATATCTCCTTGAACTTGATCTGAGATGGATATTTCCATATTCCATTCGATCCGAAATATATTAGCTGAAAACGAAAAGTCACTCTTCGGATGTGTTACAAATAAAACCTTATTTTTGCCTGTCTTCAAGCTGACGATAATATGACATGAAGAACATGCCTTTTGTTACACTTATCAATGATGACATTCCTTGATTCTAGAAAGGAAACAATTATAGCAACAAAAATAAATATATCAAGACCATTTTGTATGAATATGGTGCTTCTGAAAAGATGGTTTATTGGTATAGTCTAACCTCAGTTGTTGTAACCATAGTTCCTTATCAGTTTGAAGATATTTTCAGTTCCTAATTAAAGAATAACTTGTGATTAGACGTAAATGTTTGTAAGTTACCTTGTCCTATTCACTTTTCAATTTACCTGCAAAAAATGTCGCCCATTCATTTTACAGAGAAAGACTGTCCAGACCATAGTTACTGTGCATCCTGGAGGAGCCAGGGATATTGTAACTCAGCTCGACATTACCACTTTATGAAGGCATACTGTCCAGCTACCTGCAGATTTTGCGGTAGGCAATCTCCCATAACCTTATGTTAACACTTCCGGGTCATGATTTTTGCAGTTTTGCTGTCTAACTGATTGTAGAGGTAAATTAACTATCGCCAAAAATACGTTCTGGCTCTTTCCTATGCAAAAATGGCAGATCACACAAAAGATTTCTGACATAACAACAATTGAACAAACAAACTTCATTCCAACTGCAACCAGATGTAATATGTATTTTTTATTAATTCTATAAGAAATTTGCACCCATTATGAATGCATTAATGCCAGGTTGCTTTGGGGCCAAAAATGTATATAATTATTAAAAAATGAAAATAATAACTTTAAAAAGTTTTTCTAAAATGCTTACGATAGCTCCGATTGCCAACGCGAACTGTTACTCCGTTACGTATCTACAAGCTTTTAACGTAGAAACTAGTCCTTTCTTAATTCTTTAACCACCGCTTTGATTGTTTTGCGTCCATATTGACCCAAGCCTAGTTTACTTTATGGACCAATGATCAGAAAAATTTGCAAGGCAGACCTTTCCACAGGTACCTTATTACTAATTTTTGACCAATCCTGACAGAGTTACACACAAAAAACAAGTAGAATTTGGGAAAAAAAACCACTGCCAATTTTGCCATTTACCCAGTACTCATTGCAGAGTAAGTCGCACACTTTCCGGGAAAAATGGCCAGCTAAAATTACATGCGAAAGAAGGACGATGAAGTGGGCATCAAAACTGGCTTATTTTTATTTTTGTCCTAAGGTTGTGTTCCGCGGCAAGACTTAAACTCTCATTGTTCTTCTTGGAAAAAGTATGGATACTGCAACCCTAACAATTATTATTATCGATATATGTTATCAAACTGCCAAACCTCTTGTGGATTTTGCAACCGTAAGTACTTAAACAGAAATGTGAGTTATATTTACCAAAACCCTGTAGCGCTTCTTTAATAGGTAATCAGGTTAGCGAGCCTTTTTCAAACCTTCCCAAAGGTCTTGATCTAAGTTAAGTTTCGTCACTTTATATTTCATATAGTTTAAGTTTTTGGCGGCGATACAACTCTTTGAAGTAATTATCCCATTGTTCAGCCAAAAGACACCAGAAAAGCTAATGAAATAATAGAAAAAGACATTGAAATCGTTTTACATTCTCAAAGAGATAACTTACGAGGCGAAGAAATATCCTTGTTATTAGAGACAACTACCTTTCAAAAGACACTTACCTATCATTATTTTTAAGATGGTATCAAATTGTCCTTCTTTACTGTTTTCGACAACATTTAAGGGATCCATCTTCTCTGGTTACGATGGCGCACTTGTAAGTTTATCACCGCCCTTTCGAAGCCAAATTCTCTTATACCAAGCGTCTCTTAGCGTTAATTGTAATGTTGTCCTTAGCTTTGGCGCTCCTGGTAATACCCCATTGTTGTGGACACTCACGAAAGAACCCCTTACGTGATAGGTTGACCATGTCCGACTTGTCAATTAATTCAATGTTTGAAATCAAGTTTCATTGTAACATCCTCGAAGTGCGGCTAGTTTTTTCGAAAGCATTGAAAACATTATTTTTTTTAGTAACATTCAATTTCAGTTCATCGGAGAACAAACAAGAAAATTTACGTATAAAAATAGCACGCAGATAGCCATTAAAATGTTAGGCAAATCTTGAATTCACTTTCAGAGCAAGAGGTAAAAACAACAAAACCCCCACGAACTACTCGTCCCTCGACCACAAAACGTTCAAGTACCATATCTAACCCTACAACAACAGCTGGACCAAGCATCACATCTAAACCACCAAGCACAGCTGGACCAATAACCACATCTAAGCCACCAAGTACAGCTGGGCCAAGTAGCACATCTAAACCACCAAGTACAGCTGGACCATCAACGACAGCTGGACCAAGCACCACATCCAACCCATCAAGTACAGCTGGACCAAGCACCACATCTAAGCCACCAAGCTCAGCTGGACCGAGCATCACATCTAAACCACCAAGCTCAGCTGGACCAAGCACCACATCTAAGCCACCAAGTACAGCTGGGCCAAGTAGCACATCTAAACCACCAAGTACAGCTGGGCCAAGCACATCTAAACCACCAAGTACAGCTGGGCCAAGCACATCTAAACCACCAAGCTCAGCTGGGCCAAGCACATCTAAACCACCCAGTACAGCTGGACCAAGCACATCTAAACCACCAAGTACAGCTGGGCCAAGCACATCTAAACCACCAAGTACAGCTGGGCCAAGCACATCTAAACCACCAAGTACAGCTGGACCAAGCACATCTAAACCACCAAGTACAGCTGGGCCAAGCACATCTAAACCACCAAGTACAGCTGGGCCAAGCACATCTAAACCACCAAGTACAGCTGGGCCAAGCACATCTAAACCACCAAGTACAGCTGGGCCAAGCACATCTAAACCACCCAGTACAGCTGGGCCAAGCACATCTAAACCACCAAGTACAGCTGGGCCAAGCACATCTAAACCACCAAGTACAGCTGGGCCAAGCACATCTAAACCACCAAGTACAGCTGGGCCAAGCACATCTAAACCACCAAGCACAGCTGGGCCAAGCACATCTAAACCACCAAGTACAGCTGGGCCAAGCACATCTAAACCACCAAGTACAGCTGGGCCAAGCACATCTAAACCACCAAGCTCAGCTGGACCAAGCACCACATCTAAGCCACCAAGTACAGCTGGACCAAGCAGCACATCTAAACCACCAAGCTCAGCTGGACCATCAACGACAACCGGACCAAGCACCACATCAAACCAATCAACGACATCAGAATCAAGCACTACGGCGAGCCCTTTAACTACAGATGGTCCAGATAGTACCACCTCCTTCCCTTTAACCACGGCTGGACCAAGTTCATCAAAACAAAGTTCGTCATCTTCGCCTCCAACCTTGACGCCAAGTAAATCAATATTTCTGTAAATAATGTGGCTTTATGTTTTGCTTGAGTTTCATTTTGAGAAGGGCGGTTTCTCTTGTATTATCCAGGAACAAATTTTATAATTTTTTGAGTATGGTTTTCACACCGGGAGTAAAAGTTTGAGAAGAAACTCAATCATTATAATAACTCGTTCAACGTACGTAAATACAAATGTTAGTGGTAGGAACTGTACATCAGCATTTACCATCAGAACTTTTGGATTAAATTCCTTTCAATCTATGGGAACTTTCTTTTTCGGATAGCAAACGTTAAAATCGTCAGGGTTATGGCAACTTCAACAACTGAAGTTACCTAGCGTCGATTTGTTTTTCATTTAATCCTTATCTGCCTCATTTTTTGTATATCCAATCAAAAGAGCGCTTGCCAATGAAGTCAATTTGTTTTTAAAGTTAAAAGACTACAAAAAGAGTTCTTTGAGAATACAAAGGCTGAGCTGAAAGGACGTTCGGAGAGATATGTTGTAATTAATTGTAAATTTTGTTTACTTTAGGCAATGCCTGTTTGAAGGCACATAATGATAGACGTGCTCTTCATGGAGCTAGTCCACTGATATGGGATAACACGCTTGTGCAGCATGCTCAGGTTTGGGCAGATAATATAGCTGCGACCGGAGTAGTTCAACATGACCCTAATCTTGGCCTAGAAGGAGAGAACATAGCGGTGTTTCAGAGAAATGAAGTTGCCGACTGTACACACGCTGTACAAGAATGGTATGCCTTAATTACTCCACTCTTTCCTCGCTTTTTCTTATTAAACGTGAGGGTACACTTTCTCAAACAAGTAATATCACGTAACTGGTTTACTAACACACAGTTAATCCTGCTGTGTAGTAAGGGTAGCTTCCAGAAGTAACCAAGGACGTAAAGTACGCGAAGGAGTATTAATATACTTCTCCTCCTTCGGTAAATGGAACAAATGCCTTTTTCATTGGCCACGCGAGGAGTATTTATTTTGTCTAACTAGGCAACTTGACGATAGTGACAAAACCACAAGCATCCGAAATACACATGTACTCTAGAGGGGTGCGGGAGGTCAGTAGTGTTTCTAGCTTACGAACAAGCTCTCCTATTTGGGCAAGCTAAGCGGGCCGCGAGGGGCAGAGGAAAGGAGAGCTCACAACGATCTCATAAATTTTCATTTGTACTTCGCCCAGACGAAGGGAAATACTATTGGCTGAAAAATGACGTTCCGGCAATCAAAGTTGATTGACAACAGGCATAGCTGGCCTGCCCTAAATTTTTGGCGGCAAATGTAGAAACACGATGCTCTTATCGCCAAAACCCTCACTGCTAAAAAGGAGACCGGCAGAGGAAGAAAATCGTTGTCGTCTGTGTGTCAAATTTGGTTCTCAGGGGGGATCATACTGGAACCGAGAACTTGTTTCAGCTCTCAAAGCGGACGGGCTCGTTTGATGTATATGAGTGATCGTTTCAAGCCTTCCTTTCTCTCCCCCGCCCCCCGCTTTCGCGTCTCCTCTCGCGCGTCTACGTTTTAAGATATCAAATGGAGAGCTTGCTCGCAGGCTATGGTGTTTCAAGATAAAATAACTCTATTTTCGTACTCGGTGTAAGGTACAACGAGGAGCGATTGTACGACTATGACAACCCAGGATTTCATCCAGACGTAGGCCACTTTACGCAGGTAAGGCTAATCGAATCAGTATATTTAGCAGATTATTACTTATATATCAAGAAACAAATTTTCTTTTTTAACTTTTTAACATTAGCGAATTCTTTAACTATGCAACCCGTCTACACGGAACAGCGGAAATTCTGTTACAGATTGCAGTACTGTCTGCAGTTCAAAAACTTGCACGGTTCCTCGGGTCCCGAGTAAACGATAGGCGGATCTGCGCAAGTTTTCGTGCGTTCAAAGATTTGTCCTGACCTTTGAAAAAGGGGGTCAAAGAGTTTGTTGCATCCTATTCAAATAAAGACGGATAAGTAGGCTTCTTTACGTTCTATTGACATCAGGTGATATTATTCTGAAGCTGTCCTTCCTTAAATAAGGGTGGCTTTGTTTGTAGCATACGCATATACCTGTCTCACACTAGCCTGCGTGGCCGGCGTTGAAAGGGGAAGGGGGAAGGAGAATTTGGGCACGCGCGAGAGCGCGCCCCACACGCTCTCGCGCGCGCCCAAATTCCCCCTTCCCATTCCTCTTTCAACGCCGGCCACGCAGGCTAGTTGCATACCGACCCTAAAAGCCTTCTTTTGGCTGTACGTTTACAGAATTAACAATGTCGTTGAAGCAATTTTATTAACATATAATTAGATCGTTTGGAAAGCAACCACGTCAGTTGGAGTCGCTCAAAGGTCAACAGGTTCAGGCCCTTCAAAAGTCACCTACATTGTGGCTCGTTATCTTCCTGCTGGAAATGTCAGAGGACAGTTTCAACAGAACGTTGGGAGGAAAACAGTCCAATGATGGTAATACGTGGTGTTAATTCATTTTTATTTTCATTTCTTTACTTTTCTGCGTTAGCCGCACGCAAGCAGGCAAGACAGAAAAACGTGATCTCAGTGAGATTGATTTGGAGAAAAACTGCCCACCTATCCCTCCCCTAAGCCAACATATTTCCCTAATTGAGATGTAAGTGTTAATGTTGGCTTAGGGGAGGGGTTTTTCATTTTTTGGTTTTTTTCTTTTTTATCGTAGATCTTACTATAGTAATGAACAATACAATTGTCTATGAAATCATTGTCATTCCTCCTGGCAGGTTCCAAGCTCATAAACCTCCCGCGACTTTCTGTCTTAAAGGATGATGGATATAATTATCTAGGAGTATTTCTCGAGGGACATCAGCCTTGGTACATATTACTTTCCCTTAGTTTTGCATGTAATTGTAGTTCGTGCATGTGGACAAATAAAGGCAAGAGACTTAATTTGAAGCCTGGTTTTCTGTGTTTAGAGCGCCGGCTTGCGGATTATTATATAGATTCATGTTTTCGAATCACGTTCGAATAAAGTTGGGAACTCTGATGTATTTTTAATCTGTTAATTTTGTCTTCTCTCAAGCTCTCCAAAAACGTCTTGAATTTTTTATATTTGCCATTACTACAAAAAGAAGCGAGAAGCCCAGTAAAAGAATCGATCTAACTTAAGTATACCTTCTAACGATTTCACTTCGCTTAAAAAATACAACTACATCAAATTTGCCCTCTTCAGGGCAAATCTGATGCTGAAAAGAACAAACATCTAGGAGGAAATTCAGCGACAAAGACAATAAAGGCCGCATCTCCCCCTGATCAATGATGGTAATACGTGGTGTTAATTCATTTTTATTTTCATTTCTTTACTTTTCTGCGTTAGCCGCACGCAAGCAGGCAAGACAGAAAAACGTGATCTCAGTGAGATTGATTTGGAAAAAAACTGCGCACCTATCCCTCCCCTAAGCCAACAAATTTCCCTAATTGAGATGTAAGTGTTAATGTTGGCTTAGGGGAGGGGTTTTTCATTTTTTGGTTTTTTTCTTTTTTATCGTACATCTTACTATAGTAATGAACAATACAATTGTCTATGAAATCATTGTCATTCCTCCTGGCAGGTTCCAAGCTCATAAACCTCCCGCGACTTTCTGTTTTAAAGGATGATGGATATAATTATCTAGGAGTATTTCTCGAGGGACATTAGCCTTGGTACATTTTACTTTCCCTTAGTTTTGCATGTAATTGTAGTTCGTGCATGTGGACAAATAAAGGCAAGAGACTTAATTTGAAGCCTGGTTTTCTGTGGTTAGAACGCCGGCTTGCGGATTATTATATAGATTCATGTTTTCGAATCACGTCCGAATAAAGTTGGGAACTCTGATGTATTTTTAATCTGTTAATTTTGTCTTCTCTCAAGCTCTCCAAAAACGTCTTGAATTTTTTAGATTTGCCATTACTACAAAAAGAAGCGAGAAGCCCAGTAAAAGAATCGATCTAACTTAAGTATACCTTCTAACGATTTCGCTTCGCTTAAGAAATACAACTACATCAAATTTGCTCTCTTCAGGGCAAATCTGATGCTGAAAAGAACAAACATCTAGGAGGAAATTCATCGACAAAGACAATAAAGGCCCCCTCTCCCCCTGATTTGCATGGGGTTGTAAATTAAGGCGCAAATGAGGCAGTTACCATCTTGGTTAATGATTTTCTCCTAGTTTGCACTTTTGTTGCATCTATTTGCTCTGAGCATATTTGGTGTAAATCTGTTTTTCGTCCTGTGTTTCGTAAAGGCCACACAAGGTTTGGGGGTATTACCCCCAAACCGGATTGTCTGGCTCGAGCTGCCATGGCATAAGAATCTGCTTCTCACCAAATAAAAAGTATATTAAAAAGAACCTATGCTATCGGGTATGAAATTCCATCATTCCACTGCCAGCTTTGAAGATTAGTACAACAAGGTTTTTTTGTTTTTTTCATGGTATATAACAAATCATAGAATATTTTCGGGAAAAAAATACTGAAGGACCGACTCTAAAATGTTAAGAGAGCGTCATTGCAAATTGAAAGAATCAAAATTATCATGATTTTCAATACAGTCCACCTTAATTCACGGCTAATCACTCCTTAAGGCAGTCCCCAGGCCCCCATGCCATACATTATGAAGACTTCCCTAAGCTATGGTGGACAAAGATGAAGGAGGGTTTTCAACATTAAAAAAAAATTCGTTTAAGAGGGTCTCAATGGGGTGGAAAGTACTAAACTCACTTATGGTTGCGCTTTTTATTTCCCGGCTAGTGTGACTCCTTACGCACTTAGGCGAAGCGCCTTTTAGGTGTTGACCAAGACCTAGGCTCCATTTCCGGCGCTCTCTTGAGGGACTATTTTTTTCCATAGCGAAAAAAGTACGGCTTCTTACTGGGGATTAATATTTACAATTTTCAGAAGGTCGTACCCTCGAAACACTAGTGAAACAACATGCAGAGATGTCACTGTTTGTAAAACACGTTGGCGATAAACAACATTTCCCTGTTTTTCTCTGACGCTAAAAAACGCTCTTGTTCCGACGCTGTTGCTTTGTGTAGTTTACGTGATAGAAGTTCAAAACGCGCACGATCAGATTACGAGTGAAAGAAGGCACAAACGCGCGTGATCAGATTACGACTGCACTATGCATCAGCCATTGCATTCTCTTCATTCTTACTGAAGTCTAAACGAATGCTGGCTTCATACATCCCGTGCATGCGTAATAGCAACCCGGAGATTGGAATCAGTGGCTCCTCACCTCTTGCCGAGTCGCCTGCACTAACAACTGGCTGGACTAAGTCATTATACGTAACTGCTAAGATTTAGCTTTTACTAAGAAGCAATTTAAATTTTACAGACTACAAGAATTCTATTTATTTCAGTCTGCAAGTCAACGAAAATTCTTTCAATAACCATCTCAATATAAGACTCCAGACGATGAGAATGCTTTAATCGGAGAATAACGCTGTCCGGACTTGAAATTTCCCTTTAACAACTTTTCTTCAGTGTTTGCTCGTATCCCCATACTCTTGAACTGAAATAAAATTGGAAAGCATTTCCTTGAATTGACCGAGATACTGTATGCAACGTCATGCAACTGTGAAAAGGCAAGAAACTGCAAGAAACAAAATACATATCATTAAGAAGTCTTAAAAAGTATTCTCCAGTCTTTCAATGAAGCTTTACGACTTCCGGGGGAGAGAACTCCCTTATTTGGCCTATACGGGTATGTGCCGCTGAACAGGGTATGGTTTTAAAGGTTTTGAGTCTTAAACAGGGCATACAATTTCACTATTAAGCGTCTTGAACAGGGTCCCTTTTTGGACTGGAAGCCTTTCAAAGAGTGTGACGACTTGCGATGAGCGATCCACATTTGCAACGGCTCCTGGCAACACCAATAATTTTTCCTAAATATCTATTTCCACAATTTTGGTGTGAAAAATTACTTCAATCTGTATGCAAAAAAAAACAAATCAGGGACAGAGAGTAGTGTGTCCTGTCTTAATTAGAGTAGCGGAATGAGCAATTTTCGTCTTAAACAGGGTCGAGGTTTAAAGGCCTAGGCGGTACACCTCTACCCAAACTTCCCTTGAGTGTCCCCCCCCGGGTACGACTTCTGGTAACTGAGTAGTTGAAATGACTTCGCACTGACTAGTAGTAAAATAAAAAAGGAAAAATTGTGCAGTGGCCGAAATACTAATTCTTTGGCACTTAAGATCAGACTATTATGGTTGTATGTGTTTTACGAAGAAATTTTACAAAGCTCAAGATTCTGCTGACTTCAGTGATCAGAACAAACTTCCTGTTTGTTGCTTAAAAAATCGAAATTAAAACCTGCTTTGGAAATTAAACGGACCCCAGTTTCGTCTGAGCACGGTAAATAAAAACCAATTCACGATGAAGCGCTCCATCAGGAAAAACCCACTGGTCATCTACTAAAAGGGAAGATTGATCAACTATCCTTACTTAATTGATATCTGGCGCCCTTACTTACCTATAATGGTCGATACTATGGTAGACCCATTGCCAACTCTGTTGATACAAGTTTAATAACTACGCGTATAAAGGGGTTCACATCAGAGATATGGCCTGTACACTTGCTTACCTTCTCACTTTAAAGCGAAGACACTATTTCCTACTTGCTGTTTAAACTGTCCCTGGTAGTTCCCGGGAGGACTGTATCGCGCTACTATATAGGTCTTGGTCAAGAAGCCGCGCTTGATAACGGCAATACCAACACCGACTCTCTTTGTAGCTTTCCACACAACCTATAAAAGAAAACACATACCAACTAAACCCTGAGGGGCTTGAACACGCACATTTGTAGAGACCATTAGATAAGTCGTATTCTCATGTTGATCACTATGAAAGTGACGATATTGTGTTAAATATAGAGCGGTTTTCATTTGAGTGTCGAAAAGTAATTGGTTTTGCACTTTCTACACGATGCGATTGGCTTAAAAGATTCGCGCCACCTTTTCATCCAATCAGAAGTAAAACCAAAGCCAATTGTGACGTTTGCGTCAGCCACATGTAATTACTTCGAGTTTTGATTGGTTCAATGTATTGTCTGTGTCCTATGTGATTGGCCAGAGTAATTACTTTGGTTTTGGTTTTACGACACTCAAACGAAAACCACTCTAATAATGATAATGAGGTAGTGGTGGTGTGTGGTAGTGGTAACGATGATAACCATGATAATGACGACGACGATGATGATAATGATAATGGTAATGGTGAAGTTGATGATGATGGTGGTGCTAATAATAACGATGACGATGATGATGATAGAGATGGCGATAATGATTAATAACGATGATGAGCATGAAAGTAGCAATAATCGAAGGTCCGGCTGCAAATCTGAATGTCGACTCACGTTGATACGTTGAGTCTCGAGACAAAATACTTGAATTCTATGTTAAATTCAGTAAGCAAATAAGCTGTTTGTTACAAAATGACATATTTCACCTGAGTGAAATGTCCTATTTGAACTCGAGGATTATCCCAAATAGTATTCGGTGGATTCTTGAAGGGATAGTCAGACACTTCTCCATACCTGAGGATAAACAAAGATAAGGAAGTTTTCATTAAAAAATGAAATGCTAAAACGGGTGCTCTAGTCAATTGATAGTTTCCAAAAATAATGGTCCAGCTTTACGACCTAATACTTTGTTTAGGCATTAAGATTCTTTCCTTTCGTTTGTTGCAACGGATGGCAAGCATAAATATGGATTGAAACTTGCAAAAAAGTTGGGCCACTTTTTCTTTCCCTCTACTTCAGTGAATAAATGTTATTGCCCCCGCAGGGATTTCGCCCAGAGGGCGAAATCCCGAGGAGACACGCTAGTAGCTCGGGCATGTATTAAGGAAAGTACTTACAGTTGAAATATACAGTCATACAGTCAATATAGAAAAAAATCACTATTTG